TTGGAACAGGAAGGGGCCATCCCCAAACTGTTCCCACAAAGTTGGGAGCATGAAATTGTCCAAAATGGCTTCGAATGCTGCAGCATTAAGAGTTCCTTTCACTGGAACTAAGGGGCCAAACCCAACCCCTGAAAAACAACCCCACACCATAATTCCCCCTCCACCAAACTTTACACTTTGCACAATGCAGTCTCCTGGCAACCACCAAAACCCATTGGAGGGGTGTCCCAATACTATTGTCAATATAGTGTATTTAAAGATAGTAATATTAATAAATCAGTAGATAGTATATGTGCAAAAGTACAGAATGATCTTAATATTGCATTTTCTAATTGGAAAAGTTTTATTAGGTTCTTGCTTTGGTAGATGTATAGCTTTGGCTTGTACCTGGGCGTTCACTGGATGCTCAGCTCAGCTGTCCTAATGCCTAGTTGACTCCTTGACAGCCATATCGCTTTGTTGTCTGCTTTAGTTCCACAATACTTTGAAAAATGTAAATGCAGGTGATTGTACTGGCCAATGAGAACGGAGAGTTAACAAATGCAACCGAAGTGGGCACCCAATGGAAATGGCTTAAATGGGGCCTTGTTTCTGCAGTGCACGCAGTCGTGTGGTGGTGGGAGCAGGACGCGCCTCGTGGTCTGCCAGGGCTCCAGCGGGCAGAGACTGGACGAGCGAAACTGCGATGAGCAGCAGCGCCCCCTGGATGCGGAGCTGTGCAACACGCAGTCCTGCCCCGGGGCCGCATCCTGGCTCCGGCACCCGTGGAAACCGGTACGGTAGCCCTCCCGTTCAACTCCTGCACCCACCTGCCATCGACTTGTTTCTCGGTGCATGTTGGGTACGTCGTCGTCACGGCGACGGCGGGACCGTCCACACCGGTCCGTGGTGCTGTGGTGCGTCCGGACTCGTGCTGAGGGCCGGGATCGTACCTCACAGAAGCCCCCGCAGACAGCCTGGCCTGGGGGGGCTCAGCACTTAACCAGACCCTCCAGACAAATGTAAACCTATGATAGAGGTCTTTCATTTCAATCAAAACTATAAGTATTTGTATTTATTTTTATTTTTAATACTTTGTATCGCTACACATAGGAGAGGTTTTAACGATGCTTATGGAACATTAACTATCCTGTTTGTGATCTCAAGCTGTAATGATGGGACACAGTGTACATTTGTCTGTAAGAAGGTCATTCAAAGGTCATTCAAAGGTCATTTGGTGCTCAGACAGCTGTCTGTCTGGCTCCATGTTTCACATCTTGTGCCTGTACAGCCTTTTCGTTTTAGACGTAGTCTCATGACATTTACACTGTCGCATTTGAGTGTCACTTGTCACTTTTGGTACTCCATGGTCGTTCACTTTTGCATCTTCCTGTCAGTTTGTACAGCGGAAACGATTTTAACAGTCAGCTGCAAAGGCTTCAGCTTCAAGATGTTTTATTGACCGTGTGCTAGAGCTGCGTCAGAATGCCGACATGTTCAGTCACACCCAGTACAAAGAATGAACGATGGCACATAAATAACGAAAAAAACAACAGGCGGTGATGTTTTTCTTCAAAGTTGTTCTTAATTTGTTTTTAAGACATTTAAATGTGAATGATGGGGATGGTCGTGTACTGAACATTCTTCTAAGACTCAGATTTAATTTTAAAAGCTGTTTTCAGTCCACAAAACAGCTGTTGTGTTGTAAGCCTGAAAATTGGCCTCGTTATACATCAATTAGGTGCTTTCTTTCAGTTTAACTTCGCAATATTCTTGGTTGCTAGAGGTGCAAGTTTTAAGTCAAATTTTAAGTTATTCAGTAACTTGAAAGAAAAAAATGCAGAAAATTAGATTCATTTATGGCCAATAATAATAATATTTTGGTTTTCAGGTTAATTCATATTCCGTTAAATTATTGCTGGTATATCCCAAAGGCAGCCTTAGCTGGAAGGTCTTTGTTTGAGGTGCTCCTACACGTTCTGCTTCATGGTCATCGTTCGG